TATTAATAGTAGGCCTTTTGAAGTGGTGGAAAGGGAGATTTGTAAATTAAGGATGGGTGATTTCATTATTTTAGTTCATTCTTCCTAGGTCATGATATTTATAGGGTGGAGGATTTTGGGCATATAGTTGATATTTTGACAAACTTATAAATATTCTGTACATGGGTGGTACTCCCTTAGTACCATTGATTCTTTAGTACACTTTTACAGTTTTACTTTCTAAAAAAATTATCTTGCCCAGGGCCAGATCATTTTGTCTCAGTCCACGAGAATGGGCACAGAGAAGCCCAATGATCCCAATTCAGACAAGTTCATAGAAAATTTGAAATATATATTAATACACATATACAAAAGAATTTATGGATTAAATGAATTTTTTATATTTATGAAATAATTGCTAGTTTTAATTTTTATTGATTTATAGAACAATCTTTTAACTAAAACATATTTACACAAAAGAAAAAAAAATATTTATATCCATTTCAGTTTGGACCATTTTCTACTTTCGGTTTTGGTCCAGTCCATACTGCTCTAGTTTCAAGCCATTGAATATCCCTAACGAGAAAACCCATCATTGGCCAACTCCCAGACCAGGATATCACCCCTCAGGAGATGGATGGAAATCGATTCCAGAATGGACTGTAGATGCTAATCGTCTGCATCACCCAAGAAGATGCTGCCACATGACTTTACCCACAAGTATCATTTGCTCTTACAATCATTTAGCATGTAGAAATAAGGTTAATTAAACATCTAATACTTTACACAACAATATTAAATGCATTTTAACATCCATCTAATAGGGAATTTTTCATTACTACTTTATATTGTCTCGAGGAAAATAAGGAGCATTTGATGCTTAATATGAGGGCTATTTTGCAAGTTTATGGGTCCTTCTATTGAACAGAACTGAATATTTTAATAGTTTTTGTTTTTAAGAAAAAGTATAAAGTATGTATTCACAAGGTATCAAAGGGGTACCACCTATTTACAAAAGATTTATAATTTTTTCAGTGTATCAATGACATTTCCAAAATCCTCTGCCCCTATTGATGTCAGAATATTTTGACAATTTTTAAGATGAATTCATTTAATCAACTTTGGGAGAAGATGGTGCGCCTTGCCTCCCTTTGAGCTAAAGCACCCAATTTCTTTAGGGGATTCCTTTATCTATGCTACAAAGTAATAGAGATGCTATTTTTCGATGAGAGAAATATGCTTGTGCCTTGGCCTAAAAAGTTAAGCATTTCTCTCCAACCATTAGCACCCACAATCCCAATTCTATCCAAAGCATGCGTTCCTCATTTCTCTTGCCAAAAACACAAAAGAAAAGGAGGAGATGAAACACTCAAGAACCACTTAACACCAAAACTATCAGAAGTCTTGCTTAAAACCCCAGGTCACCTAATGCAGAACAAGAAAATCCTAATTTGGACATATTTCTATAATAATATGTATTTATATAATAGTAATATTTATGCATTACTAAAGTATTTAGGTTATTTAGGAACTAGTATATGGAATAAGTTTAATATTTCATATTTAATTAGGATGCTGTTAGTTATTTTCTATTATAGGTTAGTCAATTATTTAGCTTGTTCTAGATTTCCTATTTGCATTGTATTTTGGTGCCTATAAATGAAGTACCCTATCTTAGTTATTCAGTTGACTATTAATGATTATCGTGCAAACAATGAGTTATTAATTTGATCCTTGAGATCTTAGATCTCCCTCTGTCTCTACTTCTTTATGCCTCCCTAATATCCTCCTATTCTTCCTCTAAAGTCTTTATTTTTTTGAATTAAAAAAAATACAATATGTATCGTTGATTACATGCACCAAGGAGGTGCAAAACCCGAAAATAATTAACATATCGTTTAGCATATCAATTAGTTCAACTAAATTCACTATGGAATACAAATCTTAATTCATTACAAACACTCCAAGGGACTGGAACCATCTCTCTCTAATTTTATCAATCCTCGACTCCCTCAGAAACTTTTAAGTCTTCATCTTCATCCCCTAGTTCTCTCTATATATCCAGTCTTCTCTTCCCTTCTCCATAATTTCTTTTTATTTCTCTATATTGAGGGATAATTATGTTACTATCATTACTTGTCCCACATCGTCATCTCAATGTTGAAAAAAGATGACAGACTCGTCCTTCCAGTATCACATAACACACATCCAGAGAAAGAACATGGTTGGCCCTGCATGCTTACCAGCATGCTGTTTACACAACTCTTGTCAATAAATGCCCAAATCATGGTTTTTTTCACATAAAATAATAGCATTCATCACCATCAAAGGTGATGACCTAGTTCTAAATATCTTTAAGACCAACAAATCAAGGGTTTGACTCTTAAAGAGGCAACAGTCCTGATCTTTAAGCCTGTAACCTACCTACTACATAAAATTGATATACTAGATGTTTAACGAGACTAAAATCAAGCCATGCTCTATCTGCTTTGAGGAAACACCTGCACAGTTCCAAAAGCAGAATCCTAAGAAGTACAAACCAAATATGGATTTTTAGTAGGTCCCTCTTTCCATTGATTCGCCACCAAAGTAGAGGTAGCAATGTTGACACCCAAGTTATCCCCCAATCCTTTTAACAGAGAAAAGATGTTTGTGGTACTTTTTGCTTTCTATTGTTGCTTTTTCTTCTGTATTCAAGTTTGGCCCTCCTTTGCATATTTTCTGAGTCCCACACGATGGTAACTCACAAGCATAAAAACTTTAGCTTCTTTCAAATGCCAGAAAGAAAAAAATGATTACTCGAGAACCATTCAAAATCAAAGAACTATTTTCACCCAAGTATAATAGAAACATCAATTATATTTTCAGCTTACCAACAGCATCAATCTGCTCTCTGTCATTGTGTGGGGACATTTAGATAAAAGCCCTTTTACTGCTGCTAGAAGTCCTTCTCTAACCTTTTTTGCTGGATGAACACAAATCTGGCAAGCGCATAAAAGATTAGAAGTCAACAAAAGAATTCAGGAGACACAAACCCATAGATGCTTGCTATGACTGGACAATTACAAGTGCAAATCGAAGATAGGAACATACATGAGGAAAAGTAGCAGACAATAATTTATTCACATGTCTTGCTGTCTCCTCAATCCACTCCTTTGTGCGATCTAGATGGAGAGATCCAATTTCCTTGACAAAGGCAGAGCTCTTTTTCTTGCTGCATTGGGAATTTTTAATGACAATGTTACCTGCTTCATCAATTGTATTTTCTGCCACCACTTGACTGTGTCTTTGATCTTTAATTGGTAAACGACAGAGTTGCTCCATAAATGACTCCGTAGACATATATCTATTTGTGGTATTAATGTCAATAGACATATCAAGAGCAGATGAATTGGCATCATCACGCAGGACTATCATAAGATATTCTGCTAAGCCTCTAATTGCTTGGTCCATAGCTTCAACACTTCCAGCAGCCCCACTAATCATTGTTTTTGACATATGTAAAACTCGGGCAAATTGACTAACAACACCAGGAAGAAAGAAAGCCAGAGAATCTGCCGTACCAACCTATAGAGACAGTGAAAGCAATCAAATAAACTCAATTTTCATATATTAAATAAAAAGCTTATATCCAGGAGTACTCTCTGGAAGATAACAGTTCATGTTCTAGTTTAAATTTTTTTCCTGGCAGAACATCTTATTGCCTTTTACCACTCCCTCCTATTCCTCCTTTTCGTTTTCTCAATTCATTTCATATGAACGAACTATTTAAAAATAAAAAATAAAAGTAAATTAAAAAGGACTTATAGCTCAATTTGAAGACTCCAATAGAATTCTTAACTTAAAATGATACACTGTTAAACCAACAGGATCCAAACACAACATACAAGTAAACTATTTGATTTTACAAGTTTTTGAGAATCAAAGCCCACAAATTACCGCAGCAACAAGAACTCGGAGGGTCTTAAAAGCTTCAATTCGGAGACTTGCACTGCCTCGATGTCCTCGCTTAGCTTCAGTATCTGCAGCCTTTGCACAAACCAAAAATAATTTATTAAGAAAAAGTTAAAGAGCAAATAATCATATTAGATATAATACATATACACTGTAATACCCCTATGCCACTTCAAAAATATGCCATTGATGACCTCCACAAATGGCTAAAGTCATTCCTTTTTTAGATAAAAAGGAAACATCAAGATACTAAGTAAAAGGATGAAGGGATAAATGTCTTACATTTAAATTGTATTATAATTTGTGTATATCTCTAACATAGAATTGGTTTTGTATCATTAGGATTCTAGAACCTAAGGGTAATTACATTAGGACTTCACATGTTGTAAGATTATAAATAGCATGTTCTTATGATGAATAAGATCACCCTTTGAAGATTAATTTACATTTGCTCATGGTATCAGAGCATACTATACACAATTTCTTTTGAATTTTTTTCATCATTAAGCCCACTGATTTACGATTATAAGGACCAAAATTCCACTCTCCATCTGCGCCTTCTTCATATCTCAACCGTGCACCTCCTGCAGCTCTCAACAGCCCTGATCTCTCAAACTTCCTATTTCTTCTTGCCCCAAAAGTCACCCTCACTCTACCTTTGCTTTCTCACTAGCCAACAGCTCACTTCTCCATCGCTGTCTCTCTCCTCAAGAACGGACAACAGGTTCCAAGTCCATATTCTTCTTTATGGAAGTAGGTTGATGCTCTAGTACTTCCATGGATTCAAGCAATTGACTCTTCTGACATCCTCTGAAGCCTTTTAAAACCCAATTTCTCTCTCACTGCTTGGAACGCTTGGCTTGCTATTGAATGACTATTCCAAGATCAAGCTCATTCTCGATTTTTTCAATTAAAATCATAATTTTATAGCACCTATAAGCTGCTCTGTCAATTGATGCATACCTCCAAAAGATCAAGACTCTGTTCGACTCCCTAGTATTTATTCCCATGAGCTCTTTGAAGGAGATTTGGTTCTTCAAATCTTGGAAGGTCTTCCTATTGTTTATGAAAATGTTGTCATCAGTTTAAGTTCCCAAAACCACTACCCTCATTGTTGACCTCTGGACTGCACTATATCTCCAAGACGTTTGACTTGCACAACATCAAAAAGGACCTCCATTAGCAGTCAACTCCTCTGCATTTTTGCCACAAACACTTCTCAACAATCACGTCCTCCCATGAATCGATCTTCTCAAACTTGTAACACCCACAAATTTTTTTTGTGGTGATTAAATAATTAGTAAATATAAATTTTATTAATTTAATTTATTTTAATGTAATTTAATTTATTTAATTTAGAATATAAAAAAAAAAATAAAATAAAATTGAAGGAGAATTTAATTGAAAATAATTTTGGAAAAAATAGGTGACAATTTTGGATTCTATGAGTATTTTTTAAAGAAAAATTAGAAAACAAGAACCAAAACGCAATTTTGGAAAGTTTCGCCACGTCAGACCCCGGATCAGCAGCCATGACCAATCAGGACGCGACAAGTGGCAGAGATGTTGATGTGGGAGGCCACGCGGGGGGCCACGTGGGCAATCCACGTGCCCGCGATCTAACTGCTGAGGCCCGTTCCCGTACGCACGGACGGCCTGGATGGCTCCCTCCCAAACGCGATCGAACGGATAAATTCAAACGCGATCGAACAACCAAGAATGAATCGCAATGGACGGCTTAGATTGAATCGCAATGAATGGTTCAGATTCACTCCCTATTTAATCGCGATCAGACAGTTCAGATCAAACGCGATGAACGGCCCAAATCAAAAGCGGATTGATATAAATAACCTCCATCCGCACCAAATCCTAACCCTAGCCACCAAAACCCATCGCCGGAGAAGATGACCTAGCCGCTGAGGAGCCGATCGCCGCCACCCGACGCCGCACCGGAACCCTTTTCGACCGCCAAAAAAGGTAAAAACTTCTTCTTTTGCACGAAATTCAATTTTAAGCTCACTCATGGCCAAATCAGAGTGAAAAGACCAGCCGATTGGCCGGAAAACACCAGCGAAGCCCGGCGCCACCGCCACGGGGAATTTCACAAAACGCCTCCAATGAGACCCTTTCTGATTCCCGTTTCGCGTTATTTTTCCACCGTTGTGATCACCGTTTTATTCTCTACAGATGACCGAAGCGAAACACCCAACTGCAACGTGAGCCGGAGGAGCCGCCGCACCGGAGAGTCCCCCCGTCGGTGAGTTTCAGTTTTTTCAGCTAACCGAGATTCTTTAACGTGGTTGCTCGCAGGAATCGACACAAAATCGGCCAAATTTGGCTGAAAACAGCCGATCCGAGGTGGATCGCCACTGTGAGCGGCGGCACCGATGCTGGAACACGACGGAGCGGCCGTGCCGGATTTCCGAAATTGGCTGAGTGGGCCCTAAGACTGATTTTGGGTTTATTAGGAACATTTGTAGGTAGTATAAGCGTGTTTCAGTTCTAGAGAAAAAATTTAGGGAATCCAGGGACCGCCCGTATGCACAGTAAACTGCTTAGCTCTTCGGCGTTAAATCGAGTAAGGATCCCTCACCCTATTCTCTATTATAGAATTGAAATCTAAATAAATAATGATGTGGTATTTTGTGCGATTTTAGTAAACATGCATAATTAATTACTGATTGCTAATGGAGCCCGAACCGGAAATTGTTCTCTGTTAATCTCTGTTGATGTATTTTACAGTCTAAAAGCATGATAGTGTCTTATTAATTTATTTTATACCTTGAATGCATGAATTGCTGCCTTACGTAACTACTGTTTGATTTGGAATTTGAGATATAATTGCATTACCTGATGCATGTTTATTTGGTTATGTGATTATATTTGATTTGGAAATTGAGACTAAAGGAAAATAAAAAAGTTGTATGATTAAATAAACAGATGGAACAACAACCTTACTAAATATCTTGGGAGATGGTGGACGGACCGGGTACATAGGGAACCCTACCATGAACATTGTCTTATACCGAACGAGGTATGAAAACTGAATAATTTGGTGCTCATACCGGACGGGGTATAGGGACGGCCCTGTAATTGAGATTGTTAAAGGAAAAGATTCATGTGTAACGGGGACATCCCTATGAACCCCCATAAATACTAGTAGACTGATGAAAAGAGAAACAGTTATGGTTTAGTTTATTGTTAATGGATATGAATTTATAATATGTTCTATGTTGCTGATTGCTCATGAAGTTATGATCTGTATGATATTATTGTTTTTATAGGTTGTTTTCATAAATTCCACTATGGTAAGTGAACGATAAATGATTTTATGATTGATAAATGAATTTACTAAATTTAATGCTCCATTAGTGGTTTTCGATTTTATACCAACTTTTACTTTTATGTCGGTGATATAGTGTTATATCCTTACTGGGTTAGTGTAGTTCATCCTTTATTTAACCATTTCATATCAAGAGAACCAGATTTCAGAGCCCGATTCGCAAGAAAACTGCGAGTAGATGCTAGATATTTTCTATTTTCTATTTGTTTCCTCATTTCTCGTGTTTCTTTCAAATAATGTTGTTCAGTACTTTTAAGTTATTGTATAAGGAATGTAAAGATTAACCTTTTATTTCACTTCCGCACTTGAGTTATTATATATTTTCTTTTGGATTTCCGGGGTCGTTTCAAAACTAGTCGTGGATAATTTACTTCTAATTACATGGGATGTGATTGATCATGTGGTAAGAGGTCGAAGTCGACCTATCCATTGGTCTCCAAATTCTTATCAACACTTTTTAAATAAAATTTTTGGTCTAACTCCTCAAACACAGCATTCCAATCACTTTTCTACAAGTATTCAATGCCAATTTTGTTTTGAGTATAATCATACTGTTTGTGGAGCCATGAATGTCCTTCACTAATGAGACAAATATCCATGCAACCCTTGATCCGACCTAATCCAATGCAACGACCATTTGCTACTCTTCAACTCTAAGAACCCTAAGCAACGTCTCATATAATAGCCACACCAGCTATTCTCAACTTTTCCTCTCCCACAAAGACCTCTAAAGACATGTTTGGAGATGGGTCCATCCATAATGTCTTTCATATCAGTTCTTCTGTTCTAAATTGTCCTAGTCAAAAAAATCATCTGAACCATGATCTTGTTATACTGAGAATCTTACTGTTTATCGCATCTCAGAAGAACATTTCATTACAAATAACTCTTGTTCAATAAAATATGATCTTTTTTGTTTTTTCGTTAAAGACCTCAAGACGACACCTATTCCCAAGTGCAATTGCCAAGGTGATTTATATTCTTTTCCATCATCAGCTTTGGTTTCTCTTCCGTTTATCCATCCTATGATGTTGCTCCATCAAATCTTAAGCTTTGGCATTGTTGTTTGGGACATTGTAATTTTCTATCCTATCTAAACTTAAAAGTGGTCTAGTAAATCCTTCATTAGTTTTGAATTTTAATTCTTTTAATCGTGAGTGTTGTTTGAAAGGCAAAAGCTCGAGCCCTCTGTTCATGTCAACGAATTATTCGCAATAATATATTCAGACGTTTGCACCTTTTGTACTCTTTCATTTTCTGGTTGTCGATATTATGTTTTATTCCTTGATGAATATTCGTGCTTCATATGGGTAATTCCCCAATGCAAAGAAAATCTCAGGTCTATAGTATTTTTGCTCGCGTCTATAATTACATATTCACTCAATTTGGGTGAAAAATTAAGCAATTTCAATGTGATAGTGGTGGTAAATTTATCAACGATAAATTTGAGACCTTTGCTCCAAACAATGATATGCACATCGGATCGTCCTGTCCTTATACTTCACAACAAAATGGCATGGCTGAACATATGTACAGAACCATTATCAATATGGTTCATACATTACTTTTTCAAGCCTCCATGCCTCCCATTTTTTTGGGTAGAAGCTCTCAAGACTACTGTACATCTTATTTTTATTTTTTTTTCTGAAAAAAAAGTGTAGAAAATATATTGATATGAGCCATCAAGGGGACGCCGCCCATGTATAAAAAGATTACAAGTCAATAAGAATATTTACAACAGACCCAAAATCTTCAAAATGGTTAATGTTATGTTCCAATACAGTGGAACCAAAAAAGTGTAGCCATTTGCTCACAATGTTGCCAAATATTTCTTCCTTTCCTTCAAAGGCTCTATTGTTTCTCCCTTTCTAGATAACCCAAAAAATTGTGAGTGGAATGAGTCTCAATTTCTTGTTTTTCCAACACACTAGATCCCAAGCAAATAATTCTTCTTGAACAAATCCGGCCATTACCCAGCTAATGTCAAATAGACTAAATACCATAGTCCACAGCTTGTCAGTGATAGGGCACCAAAGCAAAAGATGCTTACTACTGTAAATCTTATTAACAGGTCACCTACCTTTTCTATTTAGAATTTGACTCCATTTGAACTTCTTTATAGCAAGCAGCCTCCAAATAATCATTTATAGGATATTTAGTTGTATATGTTATCTAAATCTATCTCCTCAAGCTAATGATAAATTGAGTCATCGCTCCATTAAATGTGCTCTCATTGGATATTCAGATAATCACAAAGATTATCATTGCAGATTATCATTGCTTTCATGTTGAGACACAAAAAGTTATTATTTCTTGACATATATTTCTAGGAGCAAGACCTTTACAATGCTAAGGATTAAGTTCTTGTCTCACTCTCATCATCAACTCCTCTCCTTGATTCACCTCCCAATTCCAAGGACTTCCTTTATTTCTGAGGCTAGTCGTCATCTCCAATCATTAACTCCAAGTCAAACATCGCAAGGTATGATTTATAACCTCTAACCTCTTATTACCTACTTTTGGAAAAAAATAAATAGAACCTGCGACTCAGATTTCACTTGCTACTCCGATGTTGTGCCCTCCATTGCTTCTAGACCTACTACTTCCTATCCTCCCATTCTCCACTATCATCTAATGTTGTACTTAAGTCACACAATCTTAAGCTTAAAATCAGGGATAGTTTTCTTACTTCAACTGGTTATGACCTCTTCTTTTCAACTTGAAAAAGGGCTTCATGGCTGATATGGGCACACTACAGTACTTTTTGAGTGTTCAAGTTTCACTTAATATGGAGGGACTTTTTCTTGACCAGAGCAAGTATACTAGGGATTTATTACTTCAACATGGTATAAAGGATTGTGAGCCATTAGCTACTCCTGTCCACTCTCATGGTCAAATTGGTAAAAAGGTCGAGTTCCTTACTTTCAGATGTTACTTCATATCATAATATTGTTGGAGCTTTACAATATCTTACTCTGACTAGCCTCGATATTTCCTTTGATGTCAATCAAGCTTGCCAACACATGTGTGAACCTTGTGAGGACCATTTTCAAGCTGTAAAACGTATATTACGTTACATACAATGTACTCTACATTATAGCCTTCAACTTTACTTTAACTCCATTATGCATTTAGGACACTTGAATGCAGACTAGGCAGGATGTCCCGACACTGGGTGTTAGTGGTCTGACACGGGATATTGCATTTCTCATGGTACCAATTTGAGCTCTTGGTGTTCCAAGAAGCAAACTATAGTTTCTCGTTCGAGTATTGAAGCCAAACATTGTGTTGTTGCAATGGCAATTTTTGACATATCTTGGTTACATAACATGCTTAGAGAACTTTATTTTGCGTCAACTAAACCTCCTATTTT